TTTCAGTCATTTATTGTCTCTATTTATCAATTAAAATACGTTTCGGTGTATTTTTCCACCATCATCAGTTTTTCTGAAATAACAGATAGTTAAAAACAAATTTCATTAATTGAAAAAACAACCACAGTTCGTCAACAGCCTCATCATATTAATTATAATAAGAGAAGAGTCCATGAAATGATACAGATTAAAAAAAATAACAATGCTATGAATTTCAGATCGGATACAGACAATCTTAGCTCAGTATATCATACATTAATTAAATGAAATAAACATAGAATATTAACTAACACCCTGTATATTGAAGAATTTTGCAAACCAAAAATAATATCCTCAGAATACAAAGAAAAATAGCTGAAAGTAAAAGAAATCAATATAAACAGTATTTTATTCGTTTTGTGTCCGATATTGGACAAAATTAATACTCCAAATGCATGCCAAGGCTTAAAGCAGCAACAACGCTACACATGTAAGTAAAAATAATTAAGTATCTGAACGAAGAATTCTAGTCTCTTCCCAGATTTGATTGTCCTGACTAATCACCATATTTAAATTATTGCAATTGTGATGTATTTTAATGTGTGATATGATAAGGCTGTTGACGAACTGTGGTTGTTTTTTAAATTAATGAAATTTTTTTTTTAACCATCTGTTATTTTAGGGAAACTGATGATGGTGGAAAAATACACCGAAACGTATTTTAATTGATAAATAGAGACAATAAATGACTGAAACCCAGGAATAAATTTTGATTAGGACTTAAAAATGCTGCCAATCTTCAGGTACTTTCTGTGAAAATTATAAAATTAATTTAATTGGAACACGCGGCTCCCGAAGAAATTTGGTCAAAAACCTAATAATTTTTCCCCAAAAATAGTTTCCCGGACAGAACAAGTGAAAGTTTATAATCAATTACTCGGAAAACTCGTCACTTTTGTCGCTGTGAATAATTTGGTTTATTTAAATTCAGATTTCTTCTCTTTTAGGGCAATATTTCTAAACAAACCTCTCTCTAAACAGAACAACGCGTTTTTTCCTAACGTTTTACTGTAAAAGACTGGCAAACTGAGAGTATTTTATGCAAAAAAGTTAAAAGATGGATTTTACAAGAAAAGTCGTCGTCTTTACAGTTACCCTTGAATTTGGGACAAATCGAAACAAAGTTATTTTGTTTTTTTCGCCAAAATTGAGGTTTTCTCAAAAAACGACCAGATAAAGCAAAAGCATATAACCAATATTTGAAAAACGCGCCATCCTGAAATGTTTTAAAGTTTCTTAAAAATTTCCGAATTTTCCCGTTTTAAACCAAATACTTTCAAGCAAACGTATGCGCAAAAGCAATATGTTGATGGTTTTTAAAATTTTAAAATTAACCAATGAGTTAAAACTCATTAACTCAGAGAGCGGCAACAACTCAAAAGCGCCACTCAACACAGTGTTACCCAGGCCTAGTTTGGGCAATAACGTCGAGCAAAGCGAGGCCAACTAGTTTGGCTCTGGGTCTTATGGTGAGTTTATTCAACAGAATGAATGCATTTTAAGGGTCTGCCTTCGCTGGCCTACACACTATCAGTGTCCAGAGCGGCGACCCAACGCGACATGGAACAGCAGCACCAATGCGTGTGCTGCCCTGAAGCAGTACTCCGGGTGCTCACAACCATGCTGCACTTCCAGATGCTCAAGTCGCCCGCTTTCATGCTGCTGCTCGTGAGCGGCTACCTTTCCTTGATGGGCATATTGATCGTGTTCACCTACGCCGCCCAATTCGCGATGCGGAAGGGCCTGGACCCGAACTCAGCCAAGCTTGTACTGTCCATCATTGGGATTTCGAACACGCTTGGACGAGCCGCATGTGGAGCAGTAAGTGCCGGAATTTTTGCATGGTGGAAGATTGCTGCTGACTGGACCTAAAAAAAGGTCACCACCCCAAGGAGCGGTTTGGGTTCTAATCCCTGCAAATCATGTCAAAATCACCCTCCAGTTAGCCGCAATCATCCACCGCTCTGTACCGACGCATTTTTTTGTATCTGTTCTCTGTGTTGGTTCCAGATTTCGTGCTTGCCGCAACTGGACATGAACATTGTCAGCTGGGTGACGATTCTCTTGAGCGGAGTGTCCCTCATCGTTGCGGCTTTTGCCTACTCGAAGATGCTGTACGTGATCGCTTGCGCTCTTTTCGGATTCAACTTGGGTAACTTTTGCAGACATTTTGTGCCAGTCGAGTTGCCAGTGAGTTTTTTTCAGCGTCGTTCACTGTGCTAAGGGCGCTCGTCTTCGTCGAGCTGTTCGGCCTGGAGAACTTGACGAACTGTTTCGGCCTGAACATGCTTTTCCAGTCGCTGTCGGCCTTCTCCAGCACGCCCCTGGCCAATGTAATTTTGCTGTATACAGGAGGATTTCAAGCGGTGTTTCTGTTCACTGGCAGCGCCCTTTTGCTCAGCGGCGCACTTTTGATCCCGCTCAAGCCGGTACTGAAGTGGGAGCGGCGCAACATGAACGTCACTTTCTCTTAGGTCACGACTTGGTGGATTAGGACTTAGTGGAAGTTAACACCTTTATTTGCAGCACATAAATACATTTACATCCAAACGAGGCTCTTACTTTCTACATCAGTCTTGGCACTGAAGGGTGGATCCGACGAATCGGGTCTTCTTCTCACTAAAGGCCCATCTATAAACTGGACGTTGTCGCAGAAAAAATGGAATTATCAAAAGAGATAGACTTTCGAGGCCATTTCTTGAAACTAGTAGGGTTTCGGGTTTTTTAGGCCGTGGTAAAATGGGATTTCTTCCTGACGTTTCGCAAGCACAACTGGCTTGCAGCTTCAGCGGTGGTTTACTTGAACGCTTACACTATTCTGATGAGTTATTCGTCTTTGCTTTACGTTTTGCTACTTTGTTCAAACAACTAAAAAAAGTCATCTAGAAAGTCGACGAGTTTTCTTATAAAATGGATCTTATAATTTTTTTGCATAAAAGATTCAGTTTGCCAGTATTTTACAGTAAAACGTTAGCTAAAAACGCGTTGTTCTGTTTAGAGGCAGTGTTGTTTTTCCAACTATTTTTATGTAAACTTTCTGGTTATTTTTTAAGTGAAACTTTAGAAAATTGAGCATTTAGAAGAAAGAGTAACTTGGCTAAAACTGGAAAATTCTGAGATTTTGAAGAAATTTTAAAAATAAAATAAATCTAAAAACAAAAAGTTATCAACATTCTCCCAGCAAAGGAATTCACTTACTGCACCGCTGTGTTGAGTTGGCGCAAAAAGCCATTTGCGTGGCTCTGCGCCAACTCCTAAAAATTAATTGAGTCACCCAGGCTATTTACAGGGTGTTCACATTTTGAACTGTTGCGCTCGCAATCTGAAGAGATAAAACGCTTTTACAATCAGACCTGGTTGGATTTTCTGCCCCAAAAAATTTGTAGCGCAAAACATAAGAAATGAGGAGGATCGAAGGTTTATCATTAGAAATGACTAAAGCGCAAACAAGATATGTCGAGTTTAAAGTAGTTTCATTACAGAGTTTGGAGCTTAACGGGAATTATTGATGATTTATTCATCAGAACAGTGTAAGCGTTCAAGCATACCACCTCTGAAGATGCAAACTGGTGCCACTGGTGCTTGCGAGACGTCAGAAAGAAATTCCACTTTACGACGGCCTAAAAACTAGGGCTCGGAATTTTTAAAAATCTGATACTCGAATATTCGTTTAGTGGTTTATTCGAATAGTAAAATTATTCGAATATTCGTTAGATATTCGAGTGTTCGTTTTCCGTTCACCGTTTTCCAAGAAGAAAAATCGTTATCTCATATCATTTTTGGCAACTAGCCGCAACGGATAAAAAAGTGCCTTTGTCGGTCCATTAATTGTAACACCGCGCAAAAGTTGATGAGGCGAATCACCAGAACACAGAGACCTAATTTTACATTCATTTGCAGGAGAGTAAATATGATTATTTTCATTTGCTTGTAAATATATGGGTATTTGTTTAAGTGCTTGTAGAATATGAATCATTTATTTTATAAAAGTATACAAAGTGCATATAAAGATATTTGCACCTTGTGAGTTTCATAATGTTGGCGTATTCGAGTATTCGATTATTCGAGTATTCGAATATTCGGATATTCGAGTATTCGAATGTTCGAGTTATGACTACATATAATTATACGCTTTTTGAATATTCGAATATTCGAATACTCGAATTATTCGAGTTTGATTCCGAGCCCTACTAAAAACCCACTAGTTTCGAAAATTAAATTGTTCCATAAATTTTTAGGCCGTAACACTGTGTTGAGCTGGAATTGGTGAGTGTTAGTGTTATAGTGCGCTGCGCAACTGCAACAACCATGTCTTGTCTATAAATCGGCCTTCAAGAGCTGCAAATGGTCTGGTGGGCGGCTACTGAACAGCGCCGTAATGCGCTCTCGCTCCCTACAATTTGTACTGATCTACCCTGTTACGGCTTGCACCTATCACATTGTAGGCTCTAGGCATCTTCCAGCTTGCGCCTTCGCTCCCAGCGGTTCACCCAACCGAGCGGGTAGCACATCAGAGCCGAGATCAGGATCATGCTGCCCGAGAGGTAGAAGGTGGCGTCAAAGCTGCCCGTCAAATCGGTGAAAGCGCCCGCCAACGGGGCGCCTATCATCGCTGCCACGCCCTGGAATAGGAGCAGCAGCCCGAAGGCGTTGGTGAGCCGCTCCAGGCCCAGCAAATCCACCACGATGATCGACCGCAGCGAGGCAAAGCAGGCTAAAAATTGCAGTTGCTTACCAATGAAACCACCCTCGCACTGCAAAGTGTTACTTACAAATGGCCAATCCGAAGATGACGGTGTATAGGAACTGGTACTCTTGGGACAGGGAGGCGCCGCTCACTATGGTGGCAATTCCCCCGATAGTGAGCGCCGCATTGGTGACAAACAGCGCGTTCACCGACGGGAAGGAGCTGAGCACGCCACAGAGCACGCGGCCCAACGTGTTCGCAATGCCCACGGAGGAGATGAGCAAGACGGCCGTCTGTTTAGGCATGTGGTCGGCAGCGCGGTCCACCAGGTACATAAAAGGCACGTAAAATCCCATCATGGTGAAGAAGCCGCCCACGGCCAGGATCAGAAAGGTGGGGCTTCTGAGCAGGCTGAAGTCGAGCAGAGTGGCCAAGGCCCGTTTCACCGCCTCCGGGTACAGCCGGCACGAGTGCGTCTTCTCCTCCAGGATGTCCTGCTTGGTGGGCAGCCGCGTGACTGCCAAATTGTATTGCACCGAGGTGTGGGAGGTGTACTGGGGCAGACGCCCCAGGCTCTGCCCGAAAAATATGTCGTCCCGATAGAGCGGCCGGTGCATTTCCTCGCATTTCTTCGGCCGCTCGCTCAGTAGGACAAAGGGCGCGCTCAGTCTTTTCTCCTTCAATTGAGCTCGGAACGGCGCCCTCGCCGGCACGCCAATGGTGTGGTACACGTCGGATAAGTGCAGCCGCTCCGGATTGTGGTGCGAGGCGAACACCCGCGAAATGGAACTCTGGTGGTCGTGCTTTGGCATGTACTTCAACGCTGCCTCCATCTGCAGCACTGTGGCGGCTGGTAGGAGTGAAGCGTCCATCACCAGCTCCGGCTCTTCCTCGTCCAGCGCCTTCAGCTTGGTGGGCTTCAGCGGTCTAAATCAGGACCTATCAACTCAGTCTCTCTGGCGTGGCTAAGACTGCGCTCACCTGAACAGCATCCCGAAGAACGCGCAACTCAGCACAATGGCACTCTGGACTAGGAGAGCGTGGCGCCAACCCATCGAGTCGATCAGCAGCTTGCTCATGGGGGCGAACAGGAAGGTGCCGATCCCGGATCCGCAGACGCCGACGCCAGTGGCCAGAGCGCGCCACTTCTCGAAGTAGAAGCCCACGGTGATCACCGAAGGAACATAGATGAACCCGAATCCGATTCCTGCAATGGTCAACAATAAGGCTCCTCCCGGGGGAAAGCGAAGGCTACTCGACTCACCGCCAATCAGCCCATAGGTGACGCACAGGAACTCGACGCTGCTGGCAAAGGACGAGACTACAAAGGCCGCGGCACCCACAAGGGCGCCCACCACCGCCACCAGTCGGAACCCGAACTTGTTGGCGATGGCGCTGGCAAAGGGGCCCACGATCAAGTAGAACCCGGACATCATCGACCCGACCAGGGCGGCCTGGGCGCGGGTCACCCCAAACTCGGAGGCGATGCCCTCTAGGAACGTGCCGTAGGAGAAAATGATACCGTCCACCACCAGGTTGCACATGAAGGAGGCGAAGACGATCACCCAGCCCCAGCCGCCGTCGGGCGGCACCGCCACATCGATGTCGTCCGAACAAACGTCCTCCGTTTCTTTGATGTTGAGCGTCAGTTCGCGCGCCTTGCAAATTTCGCTCTCCACCAGCTTGTCCATCTCAGTAGCTCCAATTTCGGCGTCGTGCGCCCTTTCGATCTGGCGGGACTCCGCCCCAGGTAGTACCGCGTACACGTTGGCGGTACTGCTGGTTGGGTCTAGATTGGGTGGCGCCATCTGAAACTGGTTAATCCTTCGCATTAAACAGGCGCTTTTGCTTACATTGCGATTCAACAATAGTTCCCTGTGTATGTAAATACAGATAAGGATGGGGATCTCCGAAACCGTAAGATACGAAGTCGGTTAAATGAGGAAAAAGCTGCACAATTAGAGGGCAATTTCGCAAAAAAAAACATTTTTTATGCCGTTTCGCTTCCTTTCGTTACAATTGCTACTCTAACAACGCCTAAAATGTAGGTACTGAAAATGTCGATTATTTCGGAACTGAGACTTCTGGCGTGTTTTTCAACTAGTTTGTTGCATTCCTCGCTTCCTCGAGATCAGAATGATGCGCATTTCCAGGCATTTTGACAAAAATTTTAATTTTTCAAAAACCACCCTTAGAAAATTTTGGGCAAAAAATCAAAATTTCACATGTGCGTTTTTTATGCTGAATCGATTCCTTTCACCCTAAGAAACTCACAAAAGCGCTTTTATGAAGTGGTTGAATCAATAATAAGGAAGAAATCGTCCCTTAAAGATTGTAAATGCTCAAAAACACAAAAAAATGTCCAAAAAATATATACTTGAAAACTAAAACTTGTGGCGTCTTTTTAACCAGTTGTTGCATTCCTTGTTTCCTCGAGATCAGAATGATGCGAAATTTTAATTTTTCAAAAATCGACTTCTACCCTTAAAACATTTTCGGCAAAAAATCAAAATTTCGCATGCGCGTTTATTGCGCTCAATCGACATCTTTCGCCTTAAGAAGCTCACAAACGTGCATTTATATACAGTGGTTTTATCAATAATAAGAAAGAAATCGTCCCTTAAAGATTGTGAATGCT